GGAAAAAGGATTCAGCAATGTAACTGGGAATGTATGATGAAACTTTCCTCACAAAGTAAAAAGACTGTTTTTTAGAAGAATTGATAGATCTATAAGCATCGTTAAGTTCTATGTTGATTATCCGTTGAATGGATTTGCCACTCTCTTGTCCAGCCATGGAAGACTAAGGAAAATATATTTATTCAGATTACTGAGGATGGCCCGAATTGGAGCCGAAACGTCTAACTGAATAGATTTATAAGTATTATACATAATAAAATTGTTTCCAATTTCGCACGAATTACTGCGGTTGTGACTCTCATTAGCCCATTAATGTTTATGTTATTTGACATTCTCGGGAGTTATAATTTTAAGTTTATTAAGTAAAAATATTTGATTTAAAGAAATTATGTTCAAATCAAAGAAATTTTTTCTTTAACCGTATGGTAAAGAAACATTTCTTTAAATCAAAGAAACCTTAGAGAAAGCTAGGTTTCTTTGATTTAAAGAAATGTTTGATATTTGAGTGTACTATGAATCTAACATTGTAAAAATATCGAAATATTTTTTTTTAAGTCTATTTAAATTATCATTCTAAAAACGTTTAATATCCATAATTTGATACAAAATTAACCAGAATATTTTTCTTTCCTCGAGGAGAAAATTAATCAGATTTAAAATCGCGGTCTTAGAGCCCGATTTAGTTCTGTGATATTCGCACTCTATGGATGTATCTTCGTAGAAATAACAGTGACAGCGAGTGCCAGTAAAGATTCGATTGGTAAGTGGCCGATACCGTCTTTTTCCAATTTCGCGACGGAGAAACACAACGATTCTTTAAAGAGATACTTTCTCTCGAACTGTAGTCTACCGCGATAATATTTACTGAGACACGGCTCATCTTACACCTACAAAGATATTGCAGTCGTTCTGCAGGTTCATTGCCGCGTGATGTTTGGCACGAAGATGATGTAAATATATAATATATTTTACATTAACAAAGAGGAGGCTAATCGTACTTCGGCGCTTCACTATTTATTCGTTCATAGAGCACTATATATTATAGTTTGAGAATTTCGTCACTATACTTATTTAAATTGTGAAATCGGAATCTGTCCTAAAAAAGCAAAATTTTTTAGGTCAATTTAACGGAGCGGAAATCAAGAAGATGTGATTAAGAGATAAATGTAAAACAGTATACGTCTGAAGAATAATTTCGTTCAATGAATTCGTCCAATCATTGCGAACTGATATTCTTCTCTAATCTAAATATCTAATTGCACGGATAAGATCGTCCAATACAGCGTGTACTATGTAATTAAAGATATTTTAATTTAATTAACTAGTGCATAACATGACGGATTCTTTAATACTAGGAGCACAGATCCGAGATCGTTGAATTAGATTGAAAAATAACTTCTCTTCTCCGCAAGAACCATTCAATTCGTAACGATAACGCACGATAAAAATTCCACCGCGTGACAGATTCAATTTTCCCGTGACCGACAACGTCATCGTTGAAACGGTAATAACGACGACTTTTTTCTCACTCCGAAATTAAATTCTGACCGCGGCTGACGGGACGGTGCTTTTGTCATACGAAATCGCGCGCGAATCTTTTTTCATCGATCGTCATGCTCCGCCACTCGCCGGCGGCGTGACGGTGAGATGTCCGTCAATCTTCCCGATCGATGGTTTGCATAATGCGAGCGCGTTAACGCGCGCAGATAGCGAGCAATCCTGCTGTCACGTGCCCGTTAATACCGGCGAATGCAGAATCGGCGGGGCGGTTGACGCGATGGAAAATTTAAGTTCGCCACGCCATCCTCCTCTCGCCTCGCTCGATTTAATGCCATCCGTTCGTGCCAGTCGTGCGGAGCGGACGACATGAAGTTTTCGGCGGCTCTGCGTCGTGTTTCACCGCCAAGAAAACGATTATACCGGATCGTCTTTTTGGTACACGCGGAGACCACCCACTTCGATCCTTCCTTGCCCCGCGACACTCATGGAAAGTCATTATAAATAGAACCCGCGAGCCGGTTTTGAACATCATCGCGAATTTTTGACGATATAAAAGAGACGCGTAAAGCGGGATATTGTCTTCGCAGAAATAAACTCGCGTTTGCATGCATTTACATTCAATTTAGGTAGTAAAATTTTGTAATTTAGATGGGATTTCTATTAAAAAATAACATCCTGAGAGAGAGAGAGAGAGAGAGAGAGAGAGAGAGAGAGAGAGAGAGAGAGAG